AAAAGAAAAGCACAATTGGAAGGAAATAAAATTTTCATAATTTGTAAGTGAAACACATCATTGCATATTTAGAAAACCAAAAGACTCTAAAAAACTTTTAGAATAGGTTGAGTTTAGCATGATTACTAGATGCTAAGTGGTCAATGTACAAAAACCAACTACATTTCTATTTACAAGTAGCACAGGTTTGAAATGTTACCATTTATAGTAACAAACATCAAAATAATCAGCTTCCTAAATATAAATCTAGAAAACATATGCAAAATCTTTGCACATAAATTATAAAAATGATCGGAAATTTTTAAAAACTAAATAACTGGAGGGATAAACCTATACCGGCAACATGATAAATAAACTAATAAAATACAGTACAGAACAGATCAATACACGTGAGGGTCCTTGACTCATGGTACAGGTGGTGCTGCAGGGTAGCCAAGAAAGGCAGACGTTTCAATAAATAGTGCCTGGAACAGTCAAATACAGCTATTCCTTGTTTAACGATTCTGACTTATGACTGTGGCTCAGTGTTCAGATTTATGACCTTTTTTTGGATATAGTTCTGTACATCTTGTTTATAGAGCCTTAATGTCTTTTTTTATACAGTATACTTCCTTTATACAGTGCTGTCATTTTTGTCATTGTACTGTATAGTACAGTACAGTAGTTTTATGTTGTTATGCATTGCAATACTGCATGTAGAAACTATGAAAATAAAAGCAAAGTCACCAAGTTGGCGTTTCCTTTGACCATTTCTTTGTTCTGAATGCTGTAATGTATAAACTATGTAATTCCTCACTTAGTGACCAATTTATTTAATTACCTAGTCACAGGAATGGAACTTGGTCATTAAGAGTATCTGTATCCATATGGAATCAAGTGAAACAATTCTTACCTCAAATTTTTCATAAAAATCAATTTTAGGTAGATTATAGATCTAATAAAAAGAGGGAAAACAATACAACCTCTTGAGAAGTTTACAATATTTTCAAGAGCTTGGGGAGGGAAAGATTTCTTAAACACCAGGAAAACACCAATTTAAACATTGCCTAATCAGTGTTCCTCACAAGAAATCATTTGATTGGGGCAAGATACTTGCAACACATATAAACAGTAAGGGTTGTATTAAGTATATATCACAAATTTCTACAAATCAGTGAGTTACATTTTAATGTAAAGAACTGATAACAATGACACGGGGACCAAGAGATGTAGGAAGGGGAGAGGAAAGGACAATAAAAAGAATTAAGATGTGGTATGTACATGTACCGATTCCCCATAATGAAGGTAATCATTATGTACTGCAAACATGTACTAAATAAAATTTTTTAAATAATAGAGAAACAATAAAATATAATTATATTTTATCATTTCAATCTTTATCTGTGATCTCTCAAGCAATCCATAATATTTATTGAATTTTTACTTATAATAACTTTTGCATGTCTTCATAGGAATCCAGTTGGTGGAGGAATTCAGCTGCTCCTTACCATTGCAATAGCTCTATTTCCATTTATTTCATGGGTCTACATATACATGAACAAAGATATGCGGTCCTCCTGGCCAACACACTGCAAGACAGTAATTTAAGTGAATCTAAGAATGGTGTTTTCTAAAAATGAGATTATTCAATTTCTTACAAACATTGGGGTAACAGGATGGTTTTCCAGTTTATTTCAGGTAATCTGAGCTGATAAGAGATGATCTAAAAGTAAGAAATAAAAAAAGGTCTTGAGAACTTTTTAAGACTGCTGTAATACATTGTAAGATTGGATAGAACAAGAATGGGGTCTGACATTCTCTGGCTGCCTTTCCTGAAGGATACTGTGCTACATTGAGGTCAAAAGGCACTCGAATGGATGTTAAAAAATCTGAATTTTGCTGGGCACAGTGGCACATGCCTGATAGTTGTTAGCTACTCAGAAGGCTGAGGCAGGATGATCACTTGAGCCCAGGAGTTTGTGGCCAGCTTGGGCAACACAGCAAGGCTCAAGATAATAAAACATAAATAAAAATTCATTATCTATGTGACTTGGGCAAATATACTCTATAAACCTCCTGGTAGTTATTTTATCTATAAAATGGAATGCCAGATCTGCTACCTGTTTTATACAGTTGCTACAGCCAAACCAGATATTACTCTGAAAATACAAAGTACTTTAAATTACAAAAGGCTGCATATGATTAAAACTGAGCAACCTTGAAACAGGTAGGTTCAAGAGAGGCCCTAATCTCATTATACTGAACTGGTTCATGGCAGGAATTAAACAAGGACTCTAGATAAACCAAAGGAAGGGGGAACAATCAAGAAGAAAATTGAGAATATTAATTACTCATGATTAATTTCTCATTATTATATACGAGAAATAAGCCCAACATGTCCACATTTTAAGAAATGAATGTTCAAAGTGACCCTAGGGGGAAGAGCATTTTGTAAAGCTGTTCTTTCCACTATGACAGCTAAATACTGTTACTGAGCACTTGAAATGTGGCTAAGGTGCCTGAGAAAGTACATTTCTGATGTCCATTTTCATTTTAAAAGTGATGTTCAATTATCATAAAATATTTAAGTGGGCCTGAACAACTTGGGCATGTGAATCTACTTGAAAGTACACTTTCTCAACTGCAAATTTTGATATCTACATGCAGATCGATTATTTGCAACAACAATTTAGTGTTCAAATGAGCGGGCTGTTAAGTATAAGATACACATCAGATTTTAAAAATTGTACAAAAAGAATGTAAAGTATTTTTATTTTGATCTTGCTGAAGATATTTTAATATACTAAATAAAATACTATTAGAATTAATTTCACCTTTCTAGTTTTTTAAATTGTAACTGCTGGAATGTTCTTTATGTGATTCATGCTGCATTTCAGTGAGATGTCTGCACTGCAACTTTTTTACACATGCTAGCCTCAAATTCCATATTCAGGTGCTATTTTCATAATGTTTCGGAAATATTTAAAAAAGAATTAGTAAGCCAGGTACAGTGTGGCACAAGCCAGTGATCCTAGGACTCTTGAGAGCCTCAAGGAGGACAATTTCTAGCTGAGGCTGTGACTTAGCAAAACCCTTTCTTAAGAGTAAAAATATTTTTAAAGTCTGGGGCTATAGCTTGGTGTGAGGACCCTGGGTACCATCCACAGTAGGGGAAAAGGAAGTTAGCACCTAAATGTCAAGAGAGTGGGAATGACTGACACTTTGTCTCTGTTTTTATATAATGCGATAATAAGTATTCTATAAATATTTGTTAAAGGAGGTAGGCACGTTTTTGTTTTGGACACAGTGGCCACTGAAGTCAGATATGCTCTATTAAGGAAAAACAATCTTGATATTAAAGCAGTTACAGTATAATTTAAGAGTCAATAAAATACAAGTAAAGGCTTTGAGTTTTCTAGTTTCCATCTAGCTGTTATCTATGGTTTTTACACTTGTTAGAATTAACTATTAAAATCACACATAAAGAATTGTAGGCCCTACCCGTTCTCCAAATCATACTTGTGCTTAAATGACAGTAACATTCAAGGTACTTTTTCATAGTGTTTGCATTTCCCATTATCAGACTATAAATTCTATGAATATTCGTAGTACTTTTGCCTCTCCAGAGTCAAGCATATAAAAGACACTTCCGGTAGAGTACTCCATTTTGAGTTCATTTTAAATTCTAGTTTGCTATTGAACTTATGAGTACACTTAATATTTCAATTCTCAAAACGTCTTCCCCACCCTAGCCCCAATTGCTTTTCTTCCCATTATACCTCACCCACCGCAGCCTACTGTTTGGACTGACACACGTTTAGTCAAGAATTCCTTGGGGCAGAACCAGAGAGCGCCTCACTGTTGAAATTCTCTTAGCTCACCATTCAGGGCCCTTCACAGCACGGCACTTGTCTATCCTTTTATGCTTACTCACTATACCCCAAGCAGCTTTTGGTTGAATCCTCGTATTATTATTTGATGCTCTTAAATTCAGCAGATCCTTTGATGTCTTGTTCTACTTTAAATGTTCTTCCCTGCTTACTTAAACCAGGTCTTCGTCATGCCATCCTTAATCCCATCAAATCAAATGTAAATCTTTTCTTTTCCAAGTCTTACAGCCAACTTCACACAGCTGTTGTCTCACAATGTAAGATGTTATAATGGGAGCTCAGTAATTCATCTCTGTGGCCAGCTGAATGTGGACCTCACAAATACCGAAGTCCTAATCCCTCCAGCCTATGTTGCCTTACGATACAAAATGGACCTCGCAGATGTGATTAAGGATCTTGAGTTAGAGAGATTGCCTGGATTATCCAGGTGGGACTTAATAATCACAAGTGCACTTATGCAGAGGAAGATGTAACTACACATAAGAAAAAGTGAAGTGAAAACAAGCAAAGAGATTCTACTTCTACTGCTGGCTGCAAAGGTAAGAGGAAGGAGGCCCATGAGTCAAGGAACATGAGAGTACAGCTCAAGAGGCTGGACAACACAAGGAAAGATTCCACCTAGAATTTCCTAAGAAACCATGGCTGTGCCAACACATTGGTTAGTGATCCCATACTTGTGACCTCCAGAACTGAGATAACACTTGTTGAAAACTATCAACTGTGTGGGAATTTGTTACAGAAGCCATAGAAAATGAATATACCTTTATATCCTTAGAGTGCCTATGTGCACACTTGGGTTGACTAGTGTTTTATTATTTTTTAGGCCCTGAATCAAACTTTCCCTATTTACCATCTAGTTTTCCCACAGATAAGCCTTGGCATATGTGGCAACAGAATTGAGCACGTCCATTTGTGTAGTAAAAGAGTCGAGGGTAAATTATCTACTGTAGTCTCGCTGTGCATTAGGTGGTGGCCCAAACAGACCCAGGTAGCAGGCACACACCTGCACTGGCACTTGTCCTGCTTTGATTACGATCACAACAGGACAACATGACTTCTCTGAAAAACGTTCTTAAAAATATTCGGGCAGTAGACATTCACTTGTCAAGTAACTTGTTAAAAGATTTTATTCACAAAATGAGAATGTAAGCCTGTAAAGTCCAAGTACAGTGTGCACCTGTCCAAAGCTCATTTATAGCACAAAGTGAACAGAAAAAGCTTACCCAGGCTTTACATTTTATTACATATCTTAAGTAATACAGCTAACATGAATATATTCTCTTGTACAAATCAAAAACAAAAATTTTTTAGGTAAAGACAACTATTTACCCCCATTGCAATCTCCTCCCTTGTTTTTTCTAATTATCAGGAATGTTTATATCATCCAAAAGTGGTATTTCTGAATATTTTACCAACATACTCTGAAGCCACAAACACATTTAGTGATGCAAGCAGAATACAAAAGAGTATTTATTTATTTTTTTGTTTTGTTTTCCTTTTTGTGTGGTTGAGACAAGCACAAAGCAAAGTCATTCTCTTTCTATAAAGGCAAACAGTAAACCAGACTAAAAAGAGAATTATTTCTTATAATTCATAATTCTGTCTGGAACTCTGCCTCTCCCTTTCAACATCATTTTGTCAGAGTAGACATGAACTGTGCCAAAAGCCTGGCTGTCCGGGGCTGTTTCAATAACTCCTTCTAAGTTGACATGGTGCACACCAAAAGGATCCTCAGAGTAGCCGCCGTCATGTGTGTGACCGGCAAGGAAACACACCACACACTTGTGAGACCAAATGACTGCCAGGGCGTCGCTGTAGTTCCAGGCCAGGCACACAGTGTCAGAGGCCTCTGGGTAAATGGGGATATGGCCTGTCAGTTAAAGAAAAGAAGTTATGAGCCAACTGAGAAATATCTTTTCCATCGAGATAAATAGCTAAAACCTAGTACTAAGGGAAACATCAATAAATTGCATATGGCTACTTTATTATCCAAATAGAGGCCAGAGAGAATCTATATACATACAGAAGTACATAATCTATAGTCACATCTCTACTGCACAGGAAAGAGGGTGATACTACCACAAATGAGGTGGGAGAGGATAGAGACCACTGCCTGAGATTTCTGATGCTTGCACAGAGTCTCAAGTTGCACCAAAACCAAAGATCAAGGGCCTGTGTGCAGGGCAATCTGTAAAGTCTGCCAGAAATCAGCAGATGCCATGCTGGAACCCAATCTCACTGATTTCCTTATATATGAATGTTATATATACAGAGAGATATAATACTAAATAAAAGAGCTTAGGGTCTGGCCATGGATTATATGTCACTTATATAACCAATGCTATAGAACTGATTAATGATACTTTACTTTAAACACTCCCATGCAATCGAGGTAGCCATATCTGATTTACAGATGAGAAGACTAATACAAGCAGAGAAAGTTTATATTGTGCCCCAGAGATGACATGTGGAAGTACATGTAGGAGAATTTTGAAGACAACACATATGCATACACCAGGCCAGTTTCATTCTGATGTCCAGGAACACAGTTCACTGAATTTTGCTTCACCTCAAACACGTTTTTTTTGGTTAGGATTCATTTTTATTCTGAAATTTAAATATTCTCTTTATAATACAAGTCAAAAGGATGGACATACACACAGAAATGGCCTATGATAGAGCTAAGAGTTCAACAAATTGGGTAGAAGCTATATTGACCCATGTATCAAATGGCACAATTAGCTGCCCCCTTGTCCTGGAAGTACTTGGCTTCTAGGGAGCCGCTAGTCTTCTTCCAACTTCGGTGTCCACTAATTTTCAGTCTCCTCTCCTAGTTTCTCCCCTGCATCCTGTTAGGAGTACCTGAATGCTTGGTCCTCAAGACTTCTCTATCTATAATACTTAATGCGTTGGTGATGTCTCCATGATTTTCACATCTTTAAATCTAATAGGTACATGAACCTTAGCATATCCAACCCTGACCCCCTCCCTCTCTTCTTCTGCAGTGTTCCTCACCTCAACTAATGGCTATTCTACCCTTCCAATTACACAGCCAAAACTCAAAAACTCCAATAAAAATGACTTCTTAGTAGCCATCATCAAACTTTAACTTTTAAACTTTGCTAAAGGAAGGCTGTGGCACACAGCTGTTAAAGGTTTGCTTATCCAGTTTCCAAACTTTCAGCAAATGGTAAAGAAATCTAAGAAACTGCTGAATTAGACAGGTGTAACACCAACAGTAAAAAGTGATGAGGGGCAGAGTTTATCACCTCACACTTATAATCCCAGCACTCGGGAGGCTGAGATGGACCGAGACAGAGGCCAGACTGGGCTATAGAGTGAATAAAAGGCCAGCCTGAACTTCAAGACCCTGTCTCAAAAAACCAAAAGGAAAAGAAATGCAAAGTAAAGCAGGGTAGAGGGGAAGGGGCTTGGAATACTTTAACTATGTAATTTAATCTCCTGGGGCTTTGGTGTCTTTACCTTCAAAAGTTAAAAGGCTTGTCTACCTGACCTCTACATTGCTTTCGGCAGAAATACTCAACCTGGCAGTGGCAAACCAAAAAGTAGATACAAGCCAGGAAGCACCCCAGTTTGAAGCCACTACTGTAGAGTCAAATGGTGTCCCGACATGCCAGTAACCGGAGGGGAACTTTTCTTTTCCAAATCTTGACATTTGACAGTCAAATGGCAGCACAAATACTCCTCCATCTACTGTTTTTACAGTGGAAGATGAATATGCAAAAACTACATTTATGGATAGAAATACAATTTTATAGTATCAACTACATGAACTGCCTATCATTTTCAAAGGGTCTTCACAGTCATAATCTTATTTGTTACAATACTGAGAAAACTGCAGTTCGTATGCCCACCACAAAGTTCATCTAATAAATGAAAGCCAGAAAGGCATTCCATCCTCTGGTTCTCAGTCAAGACTTCTCATCTATTTGAGTCATGCTGATTTTCAAACAAGGGCTGTAATGAGAGCCCCCAAGCAAGTCTACTTGCTCGACTGTGAATCCAAATTCAGTTCTTCACATGTAGGCACATGCACACACGTTTAAAGCACTTCCAATTCCCACAATCCCAGATGGTGGCATCTGTCAAAAGCGACTTTCAATGGAAATAATATAAATCCAATTTCCTTGGGACCGTGTGATTGATAGACAGAAAAAGTGCTCACTACCATCTGAGTCCATCACAACTGGGCAGCATGGCCTGTTTTGGTGGCTACTTCACTGACAGCCAAGGTTTTGAAGACTGAGAGATGGAATGAGGCCCTGTACTGAATTTCTCATTTTAAATTACATACATTGATCTCATTTGGGGAAATTCTACTTTAAGACCCTGAGGAACTCACAGGCTCAACTATATGACTATATGGTTTTTGGTTTTTGTTGTTTTACGATTCTCTCCTAACTCAGTCTTAAATATTAATCTTGGATTCAGGTTATGCTTCAATAAAAAAAATTTTGGGTTTTTTTTTTGTTTGTTTTTTAAGACAGGGTCTCACTATGTAGTTGAGACTGATCTGGAACTCACTATGTAGCCCAGGCTGGTCTCGAACTCACAGTGATCCTCCTGCCTCAGCCTCCCGAGTGCTGGCATTACAGGTGTGAGCCACCATACTGGCTTCAATAAAAATTTTTAAAGCAAGTATCCATTTTCTAGAAAGAGAATACCAAAACATACATATTGTTAATATTCTTTAAAAGCTAACATTTGTCAATCTCTAAAATACTACTGTAATCAGATAAATACTTTACATACTTACTCACAATCACCACTTTTTCTTGGTTTGTGTCAGAGAACGTAAGAACATCATTCAACCAGTTCAGCTGTTCTTGGCTGAATCCTCCATTGAACTGGACAAACTGGGTCTCAAACAGTCCTGAATGAATTCAGTAAGTCACACCCATCAAACGTCATTTTCCCCCCATTTGGAAATTCAAACAAGGACACTTGTTCTTTTCTTTACGAAATCCGATTACCAGCAATACACTTTAAATAGAAAGTTGCAAGAATTTTGAGCAATATATAAATTGCACAATGTCTTACTACTAGTCTTGACTTTCCTTTGTTTACTTTCTTGGCTTTCCGTTACACTCAAAAGAAAATACAAATTCCTTGCAATGTTTCCTGAGCTCTGCGCTATTTTAGTACCTGCTCACTCTTTAAAACCATCTTATACCTGACTGGTCTTAGTGGGAAGAAGCTAGGTCACTAGGGGTGTGACTCTGAATGGGATACTTAGAACCTCACCCTCCACACATACACACTGTTTCCCTGCCACCATAAGGCAAGGAGCTTGCTCTAAAGGCAACAGGGCCAAGTGAAGATGAACTGAAACCCTGAGACAAAATAAACCTTTCCTCCTTATAAGTTGATTCTCTCAGGTATTTTATCATGAAAGAAAGTCAATACATTTATTAAATGTCCTGCTCACCTACTTTGGTTCTCTCCATTCTATTCACAAGCAAAAAAAAAAAAAAACAAAAAACAAAAAGTGATTGGCCCAGATATGTTGGCCCAGACTCGCATGCAGCTATATTAAATGAAACCTGAGTCAATTACAACCAAACCATGTAACATCAGGCTTATGTGAAATCCTGACCCTGAACAACAGTGACAAATTACTTTTACCTTAATCATCCATTTTCCTGCCGAATAAAAGGTAGCTGAAGAATTTAAAGACAATGTATTAGATTGTCAGTTCAAAGGAAAAATTCACCTTGAGGACTATTCAATTCCGTATTTGGATTGTGCTCCCTCAGTATCTTCATACACTGCTGGTATTTTGGAGAGGAATGATCTATGCCCAAGACACTCAAGTCATAAGCATCAAGTAAAATGAACCGGAATTTAGGAAATGGTACAAAATGATAAGCATGATAATTTTCTGAAGGCACAGTCTCAGGATGATGTACAATTTGGTCTTCTAAAAACTTTGTGTTAAGTTTAGAGTTTGTTAAATAGTCTCTACTAAAGTTATAAAATTCATGGTTTCCCCATGTATGATGAACTGGGACTTTAAGCATCTGAAATGTGGTCAAGACAAGTTCCAGAGACCTTTCTGATGTTTTATACTGCGCATTATAGCCATCGATGACATCTCCAAGTTGGAGGACACAGCAGGGCAGGCTGCTTTCTTTATTCCACTCTTCAATAGCACGCATTAGGTGAAGAAGACTGTGTCTGTAGTACCGCCGCCTGCTTCCTTGGAAATTGTACCCATCTTCTACATCAGCATATTGAATATCTGCTATCACTCCAAAGGAGAAGAGCCATTCTGAACTGTCATCACTTGGGGTGTCAGGATTGGGATTTTCAGCCATAACCTCTGAACAGGCTTGAAAATAAAGAAAAGTGAAAAAGATAACAAAGTTTAAAAAAATCTCAATTTTCTAATTGGACTGAAGAGAACAGTAAAATGAATATTAAACTTAATAGTTAATTCCCTAGGCAGTTTGACAGAAAATAGTGCATGGACTTTACAAGTCACTTGACAGGTTTAAAATACTAAGGCTTTCAGTCCAGTTTTCTCCATCATAAAATAAATGATAAACTCTATCCTTCAGAAGAGTAACAATTTATAATTATCCTATTAAAAAACAGGCATGTACAAGAAACACCAGTTGTAAGAACACTCCTAACAGAGGTGGAGGATACAACTCCATAATCAGAATAGGGATCAGACTCAAGTGAACGTATTTCAGAACTAAGGAGGTTCTCTTCAGTCTAAAAATTTTGTCACTAATGATAAACACCTCACCTAGTCTACCGGATTAGGAACGTTAGCTTTCTGTTCTTTCTTAATCTGACTGGGTGTAACTAGCCCCAAAACAGGTGAAACAGCATCAGAAAAAGGAAATTCTGAAAAGTGGTTATTCCCATGTTATTTTTAAAATTTCTTCATTTCTTCCTACAGTGTCCATCTGAAAACCTCAGTAGATATCAAGTTAGTAGATATGCATGATGGGGTGATATCTTCATTTGTTTCTACAAATGAAAAATAGTCTGGTTTGAAAAGTGGAAAACTCAGTATAATTAAAAGAAATATATGTGAGCTAAAAATCTCTAGTCATAATTTCAGATACCTGTGCCTCCAAGTACAGATTAGTAGGAATATGAATATTATTACCAAAATGGAAATGAAAATCATTTCTGGGGATGTTAGTACTCCCTGCCAAATAAGCATGTTTGATTTTATATATAAACTCAGTATGTGCTGTGGATCTCTTAGGGAGGATTTACTCTCCATTAATTTGATCTTCCATCCCTGTGAAAGCTGTTATTTTTACCTATCCAGCAATCATTTCCCACCTGGAAAGAGCACTCCCATTGATTTTCCTTTAGGCACAACCCAGTTTCCTACTAGCACTTCCTGTCACTTGAATGACAAGGGAAGGGGGGCAGCTGAGGAAGGACAGTGACAAACAGATGACCCAGGTTTGGCCTGTATAAGCCCAGTTTCCTTCTCACCAGTTAGGGGTAAGCTTATACCCAAGCATGTAATAACCCAAAAGTACTGCTTCTTCCGATAACTAAAACTTGAGTTTCTGGGGAAAAGTGAACTGAGAAGAAATCCAACATGAAAGGAAACAAAGCTGAATGACAAAGCAGAAAATTCCTAGAAACAGTTTTTGAAAACCTGCATCCACATGCCCCTAACAGAACTACCCCTAGTCATTTAATTTTTTCAGCAAATAAATTTCCCTTGGAGCTGGACTACAAATCAAGTAGATTCTCTACCACTTAATACCAAAATCCTGTCAAAAACACCTTCCACTGGAAGAATTTCAGTTTAGGGAAATTCAAGGCTATTCTAGAATTTGGCAACTTTTAAAAGACTATTATACAATGTAGGGCAAAATACCAAGGGACACAAATTTGGCAACTTTTTAAGGACAATTATACAATGTAGGGCAAAATGCCAAGGGACTCACATTTCAAAACAATAGTCATTCTGGGGAAGAAAAGAGGCCAAAGCATGGAGTACTTACAGCTTTTAAAGGTCAAGGGTAGAGAGGTGACATACAATTTTATTAAGTAAAGGTATTATTTGGAAGGAACAGACAGGATTAGAAGTAAAGCAGAGAGATGGACAAGGGGAAACCATATGAGCAAGGAAATTACTTTCCTAGCTAGTTCCGTGTTTTACTTTTTTTTTTTTTCAGTTCAGGTAGATACCAGGGAGCTCAGAAAGATTGGTCTTAGTGGAGAGATCAAGCACTCAATGTGACTTCCAGTGAGGTAACTGAGAACCAGTAGGCATTCTGATGGCATGAGACTTTTTCAAAATAGCCCGCTCCTCTACCAAATACATACCCACAAAATAGGTGCAGAGGATAACAACTGTTGAAGCTAGTCATGAGTCACCTAATGATGGAAATTTTGATGTGAAATCAGTAAAGAAAGAAATCCAGAGAGGAAAAAAGTTGAAATGCACATTTTGTGATAAGAGGAACCACTCTAGGACACAGCCACTTCACTGTGGGATGTAATTTAAAATTCTGTGCTAAGAAAGGCCATGCATTTCTACAAGCTGATGGAGCTCAAGGAATTTATAAGTTGTTATGCCAACAATATACTCTAAAAATCAACCATCACTCAGTGTTAATATTTTAAGAGTGAAAAGCACAGAACACCACTCAACAGGCACTCCTGTTCTGCCAGCTGAAATCAACAGCGATGGACAGAACTAGAAGACAGACAGAGGGTGAGCCCACAGCCACACATATGCAATCATAAAAGTTTCTTTTTCTTAAAATGTAAGGAAGCAGGACTTCTTTATGACTTATTTGAAAATGCATTAGACAATTTTCATTTGATTCAACAAAAATTCACGGACGAAACTTCAAATAGGCTTATGAAAAAAGTGGGACTTCACTTTTTGACTGTGGATTACATATTTGAAACACATTTGCAAATTTTGTGAAGCGAGAAAGAATAAAACTCATGAATCCAAAGAAAGACTGCAGCAGCTAAAGGAAGAGATTGAGCTGCATGTCTTGCACCATGACATTTTGTAGCCACTTTGAAAGAAAATATTGCAAGGTTTTTCTACATTATTCTGTTCCAGTAAGAAGCTGCAGTACAGTCATCTTGAGACTCATCAGACATAGATTTGGGGGTATATAATTTTAAAATCACTTTATTAAACACATTGGTGCTTTATGATTCAGAGGATTACGAAGTAGTTGCTTTGCATTATAACTCAGCTGAATCACACAGCAACCTAGTGAGGAGTATTTTTGCTAAAACTTATATTTCAGTTCCAGGTCTTCAATTTCAAAGTTTTTGGCACCTCACCACAGTATTAGGAAGTCTACAAGTTTGGGCTTGGCTGTCCTAGTTAAAAATTATGTCAAGCACAAAATCTGATCAGGCTTGTGCTATTAAAACAAATATCAGATGGTATTATCCATGCCCCGTCTCCCTCAAGAAAAGTATCTAAAATGAAAAACTCTAAAATGAAAACAACCTCATGTGGTGCTCTGGCTGGGTCACACTAGTAATAAAAGCAGCAGATTTACAATAAATATAACACTTCAGGAGCCTGTTAGTATGGGTCCAGGCTCAGAGGTGTTATTAGCAATTCACCCAATGTGTAGTTACAATTAGATATTAGTAGTTTATCTAATACTATATCTCAATATGAAAATGCCATAACAGTGCTTTGGTAAACAAATTAAGGGTAAAGCTATTAATAGAATCACTCTGACAAAGAAAATTTAACAGACCAGCTAAAAGCATCACCAAACTTAATTTTAATTTACCGGATGTGTACTTGATCAGTTAACCTACAACTGAGCAATTAAAGAAATGAACAGTAACTTTGGATGCTCCTTTCCTGAATAAGCAAGGTACTTTTGTGTAATTTTTGTCAATTACAGGAAAAACTCCTTGAACAAAAATACGTAGAAATAAAGAGGTAAAAATCTTACCCATAGGCAACTTCAAGACAGAAAAATTGGTTTTGATTAACAGTATGAAGTGCTGAGTAAACACATGAGAACTTTTCTAAGGTTAAGTGTCCATGCTACTCACAAGGCCGAGTCAGAAGGACTTCTAGTTAGAGGGCAGCCTGTGGAGTTTAACTAGACCCTGTTACAAAATTTAAAAAAAAAAAAAAAAATGCCTGGAAATATAGCTTAGCATGAGTTCTTGTGACCAATTCCCAGTAAAGGACTGGAGGTAGGGGGTATCATTTAACTGAGCTAAATTTCAGAAAACTCCAGCTCAACTTCAGAACCAGGAAACAAGTAATATTAAACTGTATTACTTACTGTGTCAGCGTGCAGCACACTTGGTTAGTTGGGCCAAATCACAGGGAGAGAGAAGAAAAAAAAAAAAAATCAGTCCAATAATCACTAGAGCAAGAGTTACTTCTGCTCCCTGGGGAAGCCACATAAGAGTGAAAACTCTTAATTAAGGAAGACAGATGGTGAATTTCCTGTATTTCTGCAAATCCATTGGGTAGGTGGAGAAGACAGCAGATACTGAGACATAAACAAAGGCAGATGAAATGAATTCGAGTTAAATTTCCCAGGTAATGTAAAATAAATCTACAAACACCTTTCGCCTCATTATTATGTAGCTATATCCGAGTAACATAAACGGTCCCAGATAATAATGCCACCATCAAACTTTAAATCACAAAACTGAAGAGGTGAGAGGACAATCAGTGCATTTTAAGAAACCAAGGCCGCAGGATACTAAGTTAAGGGGAGGACATGACGCAATAGACTCTTTGCACCTACAGTGCTGCGCTTTACAATCACACTGTGACGGGTATGGGTAGCTAGAAGTATTGGGCACTTCAAACATGCTTTTGTCACCCTTGCCAAATTATTATTAGCATTTTTTTAAAGTTAATGATTGATGAATAAATGAATCGACTTCTACTTTTGAGAATGAGAAGGGGTCAACGACCTTGTAATTCTACTTGGCCGACGACTAGACAGACTAGGTAGGACGAGGGTCACTAGACAGGATGTGGGGGATGCAGGGGCTGCCCAGTCCCGGCCAAGGGCGGAGTAGGCTGCGGTCCCGCAAGACCCATCCCGAGAGCTGGGCGCCCCCTGCTCTCAGCACCGCCAGGTCCCGGCCCAATCGCGCAGCCCAGGCAGAACCCCAGTGGAACCGTGGCCAAACCCTCCTGGTCCCCACTACAGGACCCCTCAGCCTGCTTGGAACCAACCTCCAGAGGACAGGCACCACCTACCTCGTGCAGGACCCTTCGCCAGCCCTCTCGGACAACCAGCTAGGTGGCCACAACATCACCGAGAGGAAGGGGAAGAGCGGCTTTCTTTGCGACTTCCGGCGGAAGTGCACCGGAAATAGGGGACGGGCCAAAGGAGGCGCGGTCAGCTACCTCCATGGCTGTGTTGGTACGGTCTCCGAGTGGCCAACTCTGGCGTCTCCTTCCTCGCAAACTCTGGCTTTGGAAACCAGCGGAGAGGACAGCGAAGGTCTTGCTGAGGCAGTTCTGTGCGCGGCAGGAAGAGGTGTGGCGGATCTCTGGGAGCGCTGGCACCCGCCCGGGAAGCCGGCCCTTCAGCACAGGGCTGCCGCCACCCCCGGGGTCATCAGGGCCCGAGCCTAAGGGTCACAGAGACCCCACGCGCCCCTCGAAGCCCGGGGTGAGTGTGTACACTTGGAGTCTGCCGTGCTCGTTACGGCTGCTCTGTCCTAGTGACCTTCCATCCCACTTGGTCATAACCTCAGAAGCCACTCGGTCTGGCCTCTTAAGTGTCCTCAACTCGGTCAGTTTACCTGAGCCATGGATTCTTTATCTGCATTTCCCTGGTTTGCCGGTAGCCCCACTGGGCCTTGAGAGAGAACTTGAGAAGCTACACCCTCTGTATGTGCTTAGATACTAGGGTTTGGATTTTAAATTAACTTTTGTGCCAGTGAAATAAATTACAGGTTTTCTTAACGACCTCAACCTTAAGATTACCGTGATTGAAGAATCAAAGCACTTTTAAAATTTGTGTCAATTGAATACCCTCTTCAGGCTTTCTATGCGTATCTTGAAACTGAAACCAAAGGAGGATCTTAGTTGCATATGGATATGCCACTTTCTTGCTGTATTCTCCGGTTCTAGTTCTAACCCAAAAAGAACTTGAAACCACTACTGTGTAGTGATAGGTAAGAGAAGTAGGTTTTAAGAGCTAGGGCAAACAAGGTTAATGAGACCTAGGTGACAAACATCTTCCTTATTTGGGGACTTGAAGGAATAAAAAGAAGTAACTTGTGATTTGCAAGAATTCCCCACTTTTAGACCTCTGTTCTACTTTGGTTACTACTTCTGGAAGCCAGAGTTAGGTTAACCTCTCTTATTTTATTAATTTTATTTATATAGTCTCAGCATCAGCGCAAGTGGAAACTGATTGATTGATTGTGTAGTACTGTGGCTTCAACTGAGGGCTACATCCCCAGCAAGCCCCACACACTAATCATTTTTAAGAATTTTGAGACAGGGTCCCAATAAATTGCTGGGGCTGGATTTGAACTTCCAGTCGTGCTTCCTCAAAACGCTAGCATTACTGGAGCCATCGTGGGGAACTTTTAATTGGTTTTTAAATAAGAATTTGGAGCCAGGGTCGCACATAGTAACAATCATGGTACTTGTGCTTCTTTGTATTGATTTCCCCTCTGAACAAGAAATTAAACTATGAGTGCCTTTGTCATTGTATATATGCAAAGCCCAGATATAAACGTCATACTCAGATACATTCAGCATTTTATCATTCTAGACTAACTTAAAACAGTCTGCATATTGAAGAAAAGCATGACCTGTGTATGTATATTAAAAACTATAATAAATTTAGCGTGTTTAAATATTTTCATCGTATTATTTTTATTTTTGAAATCTCTGCCCCAGTAGCCTGTTTCCTGGAGGTCTTTAGCAATCACCTTTGCTATTGGTGGAGGTTTACTGGCTGGAATGAGGTACTTCAAGAAGGAAAAGACAGAAAGTAAGTAGATATCATCTGTTCAGGTCTGAATAAAATGTTTCCTGGCTATGTACTGATATCTTTTTTCGAGTTTTTTTATCTTTCTATTTTGAAATAGATTTATGGAAAGAGTTCCAAAGATAGTATAAAAATTTCCCAGTATAACTTTCATCCGGATTCTCATAATATTAATCTTCTATAACCGTGACACATTGATCAAAACTAAAAAAGTTTGTCATCAAAGTAAAACTACAGAGTTTAAGAGGCCTGCCCATGTTTTCTCATCAGTGTATTTTGCTTTTCCAAGATCCAGTCCAGGGTACCATTAACGATATTAAAAGATTTATTGTGGATAGATTTGAATGTGGGCAGTAGGACATATGAAGGGTGCAGAAATGGCCAAGATGCTGTCCCACACTTGAGGTGCCCATGATAAACAGTCTCAGAAGTAAAGGGTTCCACTAGATGAGGTTCTTTGAAGTCAGAGGAAATGGGCCTGAGGGCCAAAGGAAGGCTCAACCTTCACATCTGAGAAGACTTCCTAGGGGTCAGGCATGGAGAACAGTGTGAGTAGATCCTGCATACCTGTGGCTGTCCACAGAGGAAAAGGCCAGAAGCTGAGCATGGCTGAAGAGAGCCAGTTACTGCTCTAAAGTAGCATCTTGAAAGGTCTACAGGAAAAAAGAAAGGAATTTAATGTTAGTGTCTGCTCCAGGAGGTTTCAGGTAAATCATTCAAATACTGCTTACATTCAATTATGTAGCGTCTCTTAATGCTACATATATATACATATGTATATATGTATATATACACAAAGGGTAATATTCAAATTTGGAGGTGATAAACCATATTCTTTAGAATCTTAGCAAAATAGCTTTTGTATTGCTATTGGTATAACAAGATGACTTTATATAATAAGCAGTATTAATACATTATCATTTTAATTAGCAGGTTCCTTTAGTTTCACACTCTGACAAAACATTTAGAAGCTAGATGGGCTGCGGATTTATTTAACTCAGTGGTTGTGCCGCCTGCTTCATAAGCACAAGGTCCTGAGTTCCCTGGTACCAAAAAAAAAAAAAAAAAAAA